GCGATACCTTGTTTACATGCGTCAAGCTAGTAAATATGTGCATTTGTGCTAGTATAATTATACAATCATGCATACATATATTATAAACAGTTGCGAGTATTTTCCAATTATTTGATAATCTGCGCTGTTTTGATAAGTTTATCACTAAAGTACTTTAGTTCGTAGTTGAAAACACACACCTATTCCCATACATACATAGCATCTCGTTTTGATTTTTTTTATATAAATGTTAAGTGTCTTCAAAATTTAATGTTTTTTCCATTTGTTATCAGCTTACAGATCTTCGACAACAACACCTTCACTTCCCTTGAGCATTGAATATCAATATATAAATAAGTGGCGATCAAAAAACCCGAAAATTTCGCCTTTGCGACAACGCCCACTTGTCTCAAAGCTTCTTACAAGTATTAGTATACATATGTACATCAATATGTGTTATCAAAGTTACTGACGTAGACAAATTAGGGCATTATTAAGACTGGTGGTCCATTTTGTTTATAATTTATATTAATGAACGGAGAATCTTAATCATGCTAAAACTTTGCTTAAAAATATTATATATTTTAACTCCTCAAAATATCCTTCAAAGCTGCAAGTAGTGTTTAGAATTCACTGAGCTGTTCTTCAAATTGTATAAAAGACCTATCATTCGTCGTCGTGAAAAATAAGGATCAATTAGTGATAAGCACATACATATATTTGTAGGGCAATAAATCATACTGATGTGAAACGGCGCGGAAAAGTTATTAGGATGTTTGAAGCGCCGTACAATAGCACTAAGCACTATTTTCATATACTAAATGTGTGATATTAAAGCAATTTAAGTACAATTATAACGAAAAATCTCATGGCAAATCAACTTAACCTCAATTAGCTGCCCGCAACTTGTCACCTAGCATTTCACTATCACACTATTTAAAAAATTCGCTTCCCAATCTCTTACGCAGCTCAAGCTATTATTCATTCATCTCATTAAGTTTCGTAACAATTTCCGTCACAATCCAGTTTCTCTTGACGGCAGACGTGTCCCTGACAATGTATTTGCTGTTCTTTTTCCAATATTAGATAATTAATTGTTTCCATTTTGATTACTATGCATTGTGCGCGCTATTTTTATCGCACAAGAGCTGGGCAATTGTAGAATTTCACTTAAATTTTCTTTTTTGCACATTTCAATTGAAGGAACTCATAAATTATCACACACGCGTGTCGTAATTGAATGCAACAGCACTTTAACTGAACACACTTCCTTTAAGCATTTATGTAAAATATTATTTCAACAAAAACAACAAATCATACTTGCTATATATGTATGTATTTGAACGATAAAAATATGGATAGGTAAATAGGAAGCTGTGAATTGTAACTTATGTCATATCTATTACGCCAGTGCATAAATGTAAACAAACCACTGTTGTCACACTTGCTTGTGTGCATGTCCATACATGTGTGTACGTGTGTAGAACGGAAGAGCAAAAGTCATTTATCGCTACTTCCACTATTATTTGAAATGCCAGCGGAAGAAAGACACTACAGAAAACGATATTTATTGGCAACACTGTCTGTCAGTTCGTTATTGCTTATTTATTGCACCTTCGCTAGGCCACAGTTAATCGTTTGACATCGCGCGATTGCAGCAGCGTCTTGACTACGTTTTGTTAAAAGTGAGTTTTCATTTAGTTTAATTAAACATTTTACTACAACTTTTTGCTAAATGTGTTCAGTAGTGCTTATATTTTATGAAGTCAATGTTACATATGCAGAAATTCACTTATTAAAAGCAAATAAGAGTGAACTGTTTTAACACGAGCGGCGGCGGTACACAGTGATGGCGTCGAAAGTGTTGCAAAGTCGCTTTTATTTGTGTGGTAGGACAAGTGTAATTGATTTTGGTTATCGAATTAGTAATTAAAGAATATATAAACAATTTGATAAACATTTTTATAATCATTAATATAATTTTAATATTAAATGAAAACTAATACCAGACAATTTCGGTTTAATAAACGACTTAAAATGCTTTGAACTATCTTGTTTAATAATTTGTAGAATTTAATTGAAAAATAATTATAAATCACTCTGAGCAAGTTTTTAACATTATGGGGTATTTTTATACGAGTTTTTGATCAAAATATATTTAACACTTATATGTATACGCATGTTTACATATATAATATAGTTGCGAAGAAATTGTAAACTTGTGTTCAAAAATAATATATGTATGTATGTATGTAATAATAATAAAATATTTGGTAAGCTTGCAAGAAATTTTCTATAATAGTTCCGAAATAAGAAAAATATCGTTAAACTTATTTAGTTAAAATGTTCAGTATATTATTTATTATTTCTCCTTCAATTAGAAATACAGGACTATTGTCATTTGTCTGCATATTCTTATACTCGGATGTGTATGTATGTATGCACATACATATACACAAGTTTTACTTGCAACGAGCATTTTACTTAATATCCGTACGAATGTTTGGCAGCACTGTTCTAGAAATTTGAAAAGGCAAAAAATGCTAATCGGGATATATTGCAACTCTGTCACACTCACCATCTTGTTTCTCTCCTTTTCAGTTCTTCCGTTACTCGTTGGAAATCGCTTGCAATTTGCTGCATTATCAAATTATTAAATTATAAAGATTTACTTAAACGCAGCTGGACTTTTCTGTTTAAAATGTGTTAACTGTGCTTGTGTGCAACTGGATTTGTTGGAATATTTGCAAAACATGCGGAAACGTTGTTATATTTGCCAAATGAAATCCCAGTGGTATGTAACTGCGAGTTTATCAGAGCATGCATGAACATGCACGGTATGGATATAAGGGTGCCATTAAAGTTGTTTACTGTTGGAAAAGTTAACAAAAAAGCGCAATAAATATGAATTCGTAAAAATTATGAATTAAGAAGACGTAAAATGTACTTTTGATTTTTAGTGATACGCCCCAATATAACTAAGAAGGTTAAAGATCTTTAAAGCAAATAGTGTGCCATAAAAAATATATAGTGGTAGTGTTGATTAAAGAAATAAGTATAGAAAGGAAAAATATATAAAAGAGCGCTAGTGGTAAAATGAGAAATGTAATTAATGTTTTATAAAGTAATAAATAAAAAATGTGTAAATTAAAAAATATAGTGTGTTAATAAAAAAAAAATAAATAAATAAAAGAGCAGTGAATGCCATTAAAATGAAAATAGTAAAAAGTGCGTTTTTTTTGTAAAAATGTGCTTTAGAAAAAGTGTAAAATAAGCAAGAAAGTAAAAAAAATATAAATAAAGTAAGTGAGAAAAGTAAGTAATTCTTTCAATTAAAATAAAAAAGAGCAGTAAGTGCCATTAAAAAATAAATAAATATAAAATAAGAAATGTGAAAAATGTGTGATAATGGTGTTTTTCAAATGGAAAAGTGTAAAGTTATAAAGCGAAAATATATAAGAAAAGAGCAGTGAATGCCATTGAAGCGAAAATAAAGTAATAAAAAAATATGGGTCTCTTTCGTAAAAAATATATAGTGGTAGTGTTTTTCGTAAAAAATGTGCAGAAAAGTGCAAATTAATCAAATAATTAAAAGAAAATTTGTGTTAATTGAAAAAATTGTGTTTTAATAAAAGAGCAGAAAATGCCATTAAAGTTAAATCATATAAATAAAAATTAATAAATGTGTGTTTCGTTAAAAAGTATGCAAAAAAATTGTTTAAAAAAAATATAAAGCGTGTGTTATTTAAAAAAGAAAACAGTGTTTTAATAAGAAAAAATTATAATAGAAAAGAGCAGCAAATGCCATTAATCATTTTAGGTGCAAAAAATTATAAATATACAAAAATTGTGTTTAATGGTAAAAAACTAAGGTATTAAATAAACATTTAATCTAAAAGAGCAGTAATTGCCGTTAATATATTTAAGTGCAAAAAAAATTATAGCGCCATATGTTTTGTTTTTAAATAGTTTGTGCAAAAAGTGTAAAGTATATAAATAAACATTTTTTATTAACATTTTAACTATGAAAAACTCCAATAAATCTATGAACTTCAAATATATTTTGGAATCGCCTTTTTAGTGAGTCGCATTTACTAAACTGGTAAGTTCGCAAAATAATTACTTTTCTGTAAAAAAGTTATATTGTATTTTATACAGTTTTTAAAAATTTTTTTTTATACATTTTTGTTTATTTTTATATATACGTTTTTTCAATTAGTATTGATCTACTAAGTGAAAGTCCTATTTTTGCCCAAATAGTCTATTCTACGCCTACGTTTGTTGTATTTGTTGCAATTATTAATAGCTTATAAAAAATTGTTTACAGCTTCGGAATCTATTATTTACTTGAGTAATTTCTTTATTTCCTTATCGCAATCTAAAATATGGCAAACAATTAAAATCTCATAACAATTAAATATATACAGAAAATTACTATATAAAATTAATTCATGCCGATTACTGTGATTTATGTCCGCACATAAGTATATAGAAAATGACTATACTAAATCATTACGAGCAGGCTGCTGTGATTTATGTCTGCACAAAAGTTTTGGGTTTCGTTTCAGTCTTTGCTGAGTTAAAATTATTATCAGAGAGAGATTATATTTTGGCTACGCTAACTGGCCTTTAGCTGGGCAGCATGTACGATTCTGCACGCGAGCTTTGATAGGAAATGGAATTCTTTTGAATCTTGACCTTGCAGTTTTGTTCTTTAATTCTTTTTTCAGCGATGTCTTTTTAGGTTAGTTCGTTACGTAAGGGATTAGACAGGAGAGGAGCTGTTTGAGGTTGGAATTTGTTCCTAATATAAAGTCTGTCAAATTCCTAATATAAATGTCTGTCTGTTTATTTAGTGGTATGTTTTGGTGACCAAAATAAATGGTTAAGAGTTCATAGTTACTCATTACGTATTTGTTACGTTTTCCACTGTTTTGACGTGTTTTCACGTTTGATTAAAAATACAGTTTAATTTTACAGTATTTTATATTTATTAAAATAAATGCAAATCGCACTTAACTAATACACAATTGAGTCTTTTAGTTCAAAATCAATACAGACAAAATAATACTTACATAAAAATAATGTAAAAGATACGGCAAGTTTAATGTATGATAGTCAAAAAACAGCTTAAGTTTAAGAAATATGTATTCTAAGCCTGAAACTGTACAACTTCTAGTAAAATACACTTCTCTTCTTTTTATCCTTTAGAAATATTTAAAGAGTTTTAACTATTTTACTAACAAATTGAAAACATTAATTGTAATAATATCTTATTTATGATTAAAAATACTTCTTAGATAATTATTGATCTACGCTTTAGTAGACGCGACCTTATTTTTCATACTTGTTCACATCTTTCTACCCAGCACACCACTGCCTCCGGTTTGAGTAGTACTTTTTGCACTTTCTTTGTTACTCACTGTGCCACCATTTCCATTAGCATTATTACCTAACACCGCCGCCGCCGTTTTGTACGTACTGCTGCATTGCGAGTCTGCCACGGATCTGCCATCACCCTCATCCCGACGGCAGAACTCGTTGAAGGGGCTGCTGGCGCGTTTTACATTTGTCATAGTCATATTTGTGACTACTTCGGCTTTCGTTTTGATCGTGCCAACATTCATTTTGATCTTATGCTGTCGTTCTAATATATCGGCGGTGGTGAGTTCACTGGCTTTCACTATACTCGAAGGCACATTGCTTAGCCAGGGTTTGAGCGTGCCTTTCTTTTGTACCGTGGCCGCTTTGCAACGACAAATGATGTCTGCGGGTTCACCACAAATGGAGCAAGTCTCTTTTGTGGTTGCGACGGTATTGTGCACATTTCCATTGTTGTTGCTGCTGCTTGTATTAATAGCGGCACAGTTGCTGTTGGCATTAGTCGGGTTGGTGTTATTATTGGCTGTGTTGTGTGGTGGTATATTCATAGTTTTCGTATTAGCTGTGCTCACTGATGATGAGGAAGAGGTGCCGCTGAGTTCCAGTTCATTGACAGCATCAACAATACTTTTTATGGTGCAAGTATTGCTGAGTTTGCTACTGCTGCTACTCACACTGGGCTCATCGTCGTAGTTCTTGCTTAGCAGTAATTTGGAGAGTGGTGGCGCTAGGCCTAGACCCAGATTACGTTCATGGTATACCTCCGAGATGGTGGGAGTTTCACGATTCATATGCCGCATTATTGAGTCTTGTATACTCTTCTGATTCACTTTGCTCGCATCTTTAGATGCAACACTTTGATTGCTTATTGCCGTCGTAGCATTTGTGGCTACTGATTTGAGGTCTTTCTTTGCCTCGTTTAGCAGCTCGGTATCGGCTTGAGAGAAGTAAAGGTTGGATGCGTTTACAATAAGCGCATTATCGTCTTCTTCGGGCAGACTTAAAGGCTTGCGACTACCAGCAAGTGCGTTGGCTGTGCCTGAAGCACCTTGGTGGTTCGCATTCATATTCGTAGGAGCTTCTGTACGTATATTAAGTCGATCCATGAAGAGCGCATGCTCTTTGCTAAGACGTGCAGCCACTGATGACTGTGCGTTACCCAGTTTTATTTTAGGTTTAAGACGGAAGTGTGACATCGGCGTCTGAGTTAACTCAAGTCCACGCTCAATTTCTGATTCAGAGCTTGTAGATTCCAAGTTAGCTGATAACATGGTGGGACCGACCAACGATGTAGTGGGTCCAAGGTTATTGTAGACAGGCGCCATTGGTGGCACAGGTCGTAAACTGTCGACCAACGGTAGGTTTTGTCTAGGTGGTGGCAGTGGAGGCATATGTCCAGGATGCGGAGGTGGTTGATTGTTACGTCGTAAGACCGTTGCATGCCCCGATATTTCCCAGTCGGTTGTGGAACTTGCCGAGCTGGAGCTGTCTGGACGTCGAGAAATGCCACTTGGCACAACACTCATTTCTGGAATGACACTATCACCTAAATAGTTCATACCTGCGCTTGAATAAAGATTACGTATACGAGTTTGGTGTGCTAACGCCATAGATACATTTTGCTCCACTGGGTTTTGTGTAGTCACGGGAGGGCTGGGAGTAAATGCGGCATCACTTTCACCACCACCACCAGGACGTGATACGCGTACGGGTGCACGTAAGCTGGAATAACCTAAACGAGGTCCTGTGGTTTTATTAATATGCGCTTGCGAGATGTAACCATCTGATAGTTCACTGTCAGTAGTGTTGGCCAAGCTAGAATCCTGCGTGGGATATAGTGCTGAACCAGCACTGTCTGGCGCGCTTGGTATAGATTCTGTGTCAGTGCGTCCACCATCGGGTTCACCACGTCGGCGTACATACGATATAAAGGCGCTGCCGCTGCTGCTAATTACGCGAGTGCGATTAAGTGGTGGCAGTTGCAAACCCAGTCCCATGGGTTTGGTGGAATCTGCCGAAAGGTGGGAAGTAGTTGCTGTAGGTGTTGATGTTAGCGCGAGCGCTGGATTGGATACAGATACTTGTAATTCGGCTTGTGTTTCATCAGTGAGCGATTCACAGCTGCTGGATGAGTCCAATCCTAAGCTTTTCGGTGCCTCTTGAGTGTCTACAACGAAAGAAAGATAATAATTTTAATAGATCGTATGCGATTCCTACGCCTTAACTTACCAAATAGCGCCAACAAAGCTTGCAGTACAAATTGACAGTTTCGCCGGTTCGCTTGTTTGCCTGTACGTAATGTTACTTGGTCCTGACCGACCTCTGTAAGATCGAACCCAATGGATGCCAAAAGCTCGTGACAACCTGCCACGCGCCACAAGCGCACACTCAAGGGTATCTCTATGCAAGCCTCCGTTTCAGCGGCACCTTTGGGTGGAAATTGCGCCAAAACATTTCTTATAAGTGTAATGATATCATCTGCCACATCGGCGCTATTGACTAACTTCGCCAACGCTTGCAAAGTAAGCGGCGTCAGTGCCAACAAGGCTTGTAGGCTAGCGGAGCATTGTGAAAGACGATCTTCCGGATCGGATTGTGGGAAGAAAACACTTGATGGTATGCCATTAGCAGCAGGCTCAAAGCGAAAGCCTACTGCCATCAGAAGATCTTTCCAACCGCCCACTGGTCCTGCCTTATTCTCAATGCTCTTCTGTGTTGTGTACATTGCATTCTTTTGACCCCGATGTATGCGTTGTAAGCTCTTTTCAACCAGGTGTAAGCAGACACGTAGCGCATCGCGACATTTATCAGGCGTACGCATTAGTTCACACAATGCATTTCCCATCATGGCCACTTTATTAGAAAGTCGCACATTACCACCGATTAGAAGGAAACCAGCCCAGTTGGCAGGATGAGCAAAATGTTTAGTATGTTGGACTGTCTGCATGGCTTCGGCGAGAGCTCTGTGAAAAATTAAAGCAGAGGGTGTTATTCCTGTTTATACCCATACTAGAGGGAACTTACCTAGCAGCGCGTGCACCTTGTAAGAGCGCGGAGTAAAACGCGCGCAATAATATTTTGGCAGCTGTTTCGGGCACTGGCCATAGAGATATAAGTACAGCTCCAGCACCAGCACATAACCAGCTACCCGCCAAATTGGCAACACCTGCACCAGTGATGGGTTCAATCGAGTGATAGGAGCTCAACACAACCAACTTAGCGTTGAGTTTCATAGTGAGCACATCTGCAGCGGACAGTATAAAGTCGGAGAGTTGTGGCAACTCTATATTGCCACCAGATAGTTCATTAGTTTCCTCCTCCTGTGCGCCAGCACTAGCTGTTGATTGATAATAACGTTTCTGTGTCTGTGAATCCACTACATCGCCTGGGCTTAACACAACCGCTCCCAGTTTCCAGCTGAGGTTAGCGGCAAAGTGTACACATTCTGCAGTTGGTAGCTCAGATATAACTGCTTCTTTGGTCGCATTGCAGCCCGCAATGGCCTTGGCTTGTAGCATATCAGCAACCATAGCGGCTTCTTGCAGCGAAGCAGGTGATTCCGACCAACCCCAAGTTTCGGATAGTACGGAAGGTATACGTGGACCGCCGACTACCAAGGCGGTGCTTAGATTTTCCGTAAGTTCACGTGTGCGTAAAATTTTGCTCTTCAAACGGAGCGATTGCAACGAGGGTATCGTAATTATTGAACAACGTTCCGATAAGTATTCGCCATCTTCCTTGGAGCTGCGTAATATGGCGAATGGCACTAGGTAAAGTTCATTTTCCAACACCAAAATGAGCTCTTTTCGCCCTTGTCGTGAAACTGAACAACCTGATGGTAGTAAGTCGTCGAATGGCTCCAAGAGTAAATTATAGAGTGTATGTAAGCAAGTAGGACCCTGCCAAGCG